TTGTTTATTATGTTGCTCTTTTGTTTTTTCCTTCTGCTTGTTTTTTCTTTCTCATCAGGTGATTGATGGATGTATTTTTTGTCTGCTTATTTTGTTGGTTTTTGTTTTTTGCCCTTTATCCCCGTCCCTCTTCCCCGCTGTTTTTCTTTCCCTCTTTCTTTTCCCCAGTCAAGTCTGTCCCGTGTTTAGCGGGTGAAAATAAATAAAATAAACAATAAAAGGTGAATCAAATGGACCATTACGGCAAGGCTGGGATGGTCAATTTGTTAAAGTAAATCTGTTGGGCATCTTTCTTTGCCTTTAGACAACAATTCTGATGGCAAAAGAACCAACCGGGACAGGCCAAAATAATAAAAAAAAATTAAAAAATGAATTGAATCATTAGGGGGTCCATGTCCCCCCTGTGGACACTCCCACAGGGCTCTTTAGACTGTTCTGCACATTGTGTCGTTCTTTCTCTCAGGACTCGATGCAAATATTACCATCAGGTGAACATGCGTACTTATGCCACCAGCACGAAGCACAAACGTCTCATTCATGTTTAATGATAGTTTCGTAGCCTTGAAAGTAAATCACATGCATCTGATCATCCTCCCTTGTTTCCTCTGTCCTTCTTCTCCAGCTGTGGGCCTGCCTCTGGCTCTCAGCAGGCTCCATATCAGCTGCTGCAGAGGCTCTGCTGTTTGCTGTGGATGGTGAGGTCACGGCAAAACACCAGACCTTTTAATCTGTGCTCCCGGCTCCACGAGGCATCCGTTCATCCATCCATTTCTGGAAGTGAGCAGGACAGCAGGGGGACGAGCAGAGAGGTAAACCTGACACTAGAGGGCGCTGGTGATTCAGCAGTGGTGTGCGTACCGCAACAGAAATACATTTCTGACTGGGCAGCGAAGAAAAAATGTTTAAGGCAAATTAAAATTCCTTCATCCACGTTTTAAATGTAAAGATGCAAAAAAGGTTCTTTTCTAAAACTGCATTACAGTCAAGCGACTTTGAAAAATCCGATGAAATTTTAAGGTTAAAAGACGTCTTTCTCATTCAGCTCAGCGTTTTGTTTTTTGGGGTTTTCCTTCCCTTTGACGAAATTCCCATCACTCGTTCAATAATTAAAGTGTGAGAAAGGATGTGAGACACTTTGATTTACTTCAACCACTCAGTGAAATGAAACGTTTACTTTTGCAACCAGGCGACATTTTCATGAACTCATTATTTGCCATTCTGGGTGTCAATGTTGCCGTCATATTGTTACGGAGCAGTTTTTGGAAGTGCTTCTGTTTGCTTTTTATTTCTGATGAATTGTCTGTTTTTCCACGAGCCCCCCATTAAACAAAACAAAAACAGGAAACATGCCCTCGTGATCCTCTGAGCGCTGAAGCTAAAATCTTTCTTTTTGACCAATAATATTGCAGGTTTCATGACCTGCTCTCCACATGCCATCAAACATATTATTCAGATGAAAACGAATGACCGGTGGAGTTAATAAATCTTTATTTAAATCAGAGCAGATAAAAACATTAAGGCAGATGAGCAGCGAGCGCTGAGCTGCGAAATGGAACCGCAGGATTTAACTACACAAGCGTCGCTGCGTTAATAAAAACAATAGAAAATTATAAAGCCAGAGAAAACAACGACACACAATGTGACAAAGAACCTGTGTGTGTGTGCGACATGATGCCGTGTGTGGGACGATGAAAGAACGGGTACTTGCACGTTTTTACACATTTACTTGGTAAAACAATAAAGTGCTGTTACTGTCGACCTTCGGGGACCGGCGGGAGGTGCAGACTACAGCCCGTTTTCATTTCCCATCAGCTGCCTCGTGCGTTAACTTGGTGTTTGCAGTCCAACATGCACCACCGCGCACAACACTTCTGTTTTTCGATGCGAGGATTTGAGACGTGAACACAGCAATAAATTAAAAGTCTGAATGCTCCCAGCTGCTTATCAGCGACTGCAACAGTTTACTGTTAACCAGATGGTTAACTAGCACTGAAACAGGCAACACTGAGCGACATCATTAGGATGGGCGCTCTGTGACCTCGCTGTTCTGAACAAAACATGAAACTCTACGTGTTCAAATGCTGGACGCGTGGGCAGCTCGTCCGTCCAGCCCTGAGAACACGTGGTGGACTTATTGTTGTTCAGCGCTGCCCCAAGCTCCCTCACAGAAACCGGAAGAGTTCAGCCTGGAGGCAAATCTAGGCCACAAAGGATTAGCTTTGGTGTGGGCCGCTTCAGATGGACCAAAGAGATTATTTCACACGACTGAGACCAAAGCACTGCTTTATATTCTTCTGATACTTTATATGATATTGACAATAAAACTGGAAGTCGGTGCAGCAGTTTACTGCAACATGCAAACATCATTAGAAATATAGTATTTAAGGAACAAAGAGACTTGGTACAACTTATAGGTCGATATTTGATATCGTTAACTTTATTGGTCTCTTAGGTGAGCTGTAGTTTCTCTACGTAATCTGCAGGAATAGTTCTCCAAGCTTCTTTAAGGAGATTCAAAGCTCCTCTTTGGATGCTGGCCTTTCCTTTTTTCACCAGTCAAAATGATCCCAAACTGCTTTAAGAGCGCTGAGATCTTTTTTAAGGACATGCTGCACACCAGGTTTCAGTTAACAGTGGATCAACTGAAGGGCTACATCTGTGCGGTCACGTATCAGCTCTGGATTTTTTGCTCCACGACTGTCAGATATGTTCATCTGTGGTAGATCGTCTTTTCTACTTCACTTTTTAAGGGGCCTCAGTTTTCTAAGGACATGCTACACACTACGCCAGGTTTCAGCTGAAACACCTCAGAAATCACCTTGCTGGTCTGTTTTATCGGAGGTGTTTTTACCAGTGATAAAGTCCCCAAAGACAGTTTTCTGTTATGTGCGGACACAGCGCTGGCTTATCTTTGGAATTAGGGGCTTTTGTGATCGAGTCACTCACAGGAAAGTTTTGAGTGGCTCTGAAAAGGGTCTGACACAAGGACTGGTTGGAAAATGTGTCCAAAGACTAAAGACCCAGTTAACAATATAGAAGAAAGCAAATGCTTCCTTGGAAGCAGAACATCATGAAACATCACGAAAGAAGCTTTTTGACTGATCTGCATGTTTGTAAGGAAACAATCCCATTTCAGGGAAAAATGTTTATTTAATTTTGTGAGATGCTAAATATGAAGCTACTCTCTTAGCCTAGTGTAGCACGAACACTAACATGAGCTAGCTGATCACATGATCCTCAGATCACGTGATGTGTTCATTTGCCAGGATCAAAGGTGTGTCTCCTGTGCATGCTGATCCTACACCAACCTGCTGCAGTTTCATTTGTTTTAGACGCCATGATGAATTATTTCATTTGACAAAGCAAAGCTAAAGTCCCAAGATTGCAAAGAACTCATTTCAAACTCCAGACAAGTCTTCATATCTGAAACATCGCACCTGCTGGGTTAAAGGAGCAGTAAGAAACGCTGAGACGGCACTGTCAGAGCTTCCCCACAACTGTGCACAGAGACAGGGGGCAACGCTCGCTGCCTTTTACGTCTAAGTGCAAAAACATTACCCCCGATAAAAACAAGAAAATACAAGAACTCAATCGAAGACAGCAGCTGAACATTTGACTTCCAAACGCGTGTGTGTGTGTCTGTGTGGACGGGTATTAACATCTTCATGGGGACCAAAAATTGGTAGTTTACTATACTTGTGGGGACAGACAGCCCTCGTGGGGACCAAAATCCCGGACCCAGGAGTGCGAAAGAGACTCAAAATGTAGTTTTAGTGTCAGGGTTACAATAAGGTTATGGTCAGGGTCAGGGGAAGGGCCAGGCATTCATTCTTCATGGTTAGGCTAAGTGGCTAGGGAAAGCATTATGTCAATGAGATGTCCCCACAAGGATATAAATACACGTGTGCGTGTGAGAGAGTGTGTGTGCATGCGTGTGTGTGTGTGTGTGAGTGTGTGTGTGTGTGTGTGTGTGTGTGTGAGTGTGTGTGGTGTGTGTGTGAGGTGTGTGTGTGTGTGTGGATGTTGTGTGTGTAGTGTGTGTGTGTGTGTGTGTGTGGAGAGTGTGTGTGTGTGTGTGTGTGTGATGATCGTGTGTGTGTGTGTGTGTGTGTGTGTGTGTGTGTGTGTGTTTGTGTGTGTGTATGTGTGTGTGTGTTGTGTGTGTATGTGTGTGTGTGTGTGTGTGTATGGTTGTTGGAGTGTGTGTGTGGATGTGTGTAGTGATGTGATGAGTGTGTGTGTGAGTGTGTGTGTGTGTGTGTTAGTGTGGAGTGTGTGTGGTGAGTGTGTGTGTGTGTGCGTGGTGTGATGTGGTGTGTGTGTGTGTGTGTGGTGAGAGTGTGTGTGGTGTGGTGTGTGTGAGAGAGATGTGTGTGTGTGGAGTGTGTGAGTGTGTGTGAGTGAGTGAGTGTGTGTGTGATGTGTGTGTGTGTGTGTTGAGGGGGTGTGGTCAGAGTGTGTGTGTGTGCTGGTGTTTGTGAGTGTGTGTGTAGTGTGTGTGATGAGTGTGAGGTGTGTGTGTGTGTGTGAGAGTGTGAGTGTGTGTGTGTGTGTGTGTGTGTGTGTGTGTGAGTGTGTGTGTGAGTGATGTGTGTGTGTGTGTGAGGTGTGTGTGTGAGTGAGTGTGTGAGAGTGTGTGTGTGTGTGCTGTGTGAGTGTGTGTGTGTGTGTGTGGAGATGTTGTGTGGGTGTGTCGTGTGTGTGTGCGAGTGTGTGTGAGAGACGAGTGTGTGTGAGGTGTGTGTGTGTGTGTGCTGTGTGTGCGTGTGTGTGTGAGTGTGTGTGTGTGTGTGTGTGTGTGTGTGGATGTGTGTGTGTGTGTGAGTGAGTGGTGTGTGTGTGTCGATGTGTGTGTGGCGTGTGGTGTCGTGTGTGTCTGTGTGTGTGCTAGTGTGTGTGTGTGTGTGTTGTGTGTGAGAGAGATGTGTGTGTGTGTGTGTGAGAGTAGATGTGTGTGTGAGTGTGAGAGTGGTGGTGTGTGTGAGAGAGAGTGTGTGTGTGTGTGTGTGTGTGTGTGTGTGCGTGTGTGTGTGTGTGCGTGCGTGTGTGTGTGTGTGTGAGAGAGAGTGTGTGTGCATGCGTGTGTGCGTGCTGTGCCTGCAACAGGCAGCGTGGTGTCACTCCTGGAGAGCCCAACCTCCAGAAACCTCCTACACACCAGCACGCCGCGTCGCTCACACAGGCTTACAAACGCACGAGATGATTGGCTGTTTCTGGTCTACCGATGACCTCACTGTGTTCAAAGCTTGTTCAAATACAGACTCCAACGTGTCTACGAATCACGTGAACCGTCGTTTTGTTTGTTTGCAGATTCTGTGTTTGCTCTTCAGCAAAGAAGCGATGAGCACAGAGACAGGAGTTACATTTATATGCATTTGTCTGGTTTCCCCATTCATTCCTATTTGTGTACATTTTCCTTTCCATGCCCCTCCCTCCATTCAACCCTTGTGTATTTGTTCTTCAGTCAGTTTTCTTTGCCCACGCCAGGTCGTCCGATCGAGGTTTCTGCCCAGTCAGCTGTTCGATTAATCTCTCCAAGGATCTCCAAAAGCCCAGCTGGTCCAGCGGATAGTTGCACCAACCTGGGAAGGATAGAAGCCAGGGGAGGAAACGATTACAGTGCAAGACGTAAAATGATAAAAGCAAACAGCAGCAGGACAGGGAAGGGATGCAAGCAGTGTCACAGGTATGCATTTGTCTGGGGCCTGTTCACTTCTTGGCCGGGTTGACCGCTACGCGCAAATAAGATGGCAGGTCTGGACTGCAGCAGCCGATGTGTAAGTGTTGTCACGATCATTTTGTTCTGGCTAAATATTTCCACACTGTGTGGGCTGTCTTTGCTGTCTGCATCCCTGTGGATCATTAAATGGTTTTAACTACTGGTATCAGGATCACCCAGAAGTTCTCCACTCAGGACATCTCCAGGAGCCACGTCTCAGACTGATAAACAATCTCGTCCTGAAGCCCGCAGTCCAAAAACTGAGTCGATGGTCGTTCTTCTTTAAAACAGCCCAAATACCCAATCTAGTTCCTGTTACTGACAGCTGCACTCAGCAACCACCTTGTTAGGTACACCTGTTCGTCTGTTAACACAGATCCCTAATCACCCAATCACACGGCAGCATCTTTTAGACCAAGACAAAATGCTCAAGTTCAAACTGTAAGAAAGAGTGAGCAGATGTGCTCCTCTGTTTCACACACTGCTGGGATTTTCCCACAGAACAATCTCTAGGGTTTACAGAGAATACCCTGAAACAGTGAAAGCATCCAGACAGCAGCAGTTTTGTAGGAAAAAATTACTTTTGGAGGTCAGAGGTCAGTGGAGAGTGGCCGGGCTGCTTCAAGCTGAGGCAGGACGGCCGCAGTAACTCAAATAATCACTGATTACAACCAAAATATGCAGAAGAGCATCGCTGAACGCACAACATGTTGAACCCTGAGGGAGATAGGACCACAGCAGCATCTCTGAGGAATGTTTCCTGCTCCTTGTTGAATCCACCACACGAAGTATCAGGGCAGTTTAGAGGGCAAAAGAGGACTGATGTATAAAGCACTTTGTGGAGTCAAGCAGCACATTTACCTAATCACGTGTCCGGTGAGTGGATGTCACGTCTGAAGATCTGAGTTAGTAGCAGTAGCCAAATGACGAAAATCGTCTTTTCAGGTTCTTTGTTTCCTTCTTTTTTCCTCCACGTGTAATTTCCTGTCCCCTCTGATCTGATTATGCACTGACAACATTTACAGGGGTGAAGGTTTGAACATGTTTAGTCCTATTAACACGTGGGAACACGTGGGAACACATGCTCGCTCAGTGTCGTCGCTCACAGTGTCGTCGCTCTCGTGCCGTTTACAGAATCTGAACAGCTGTGAATGTTTCTTAGACTATCACGCTGCAGATGGATGCAGGCCAAAGTACACAGAGTATGAATGCATGACTGTACAGTAGTCTGTGAATACACGTGACTGCTGTGAAACAACATGCCTATGCAGAGGGCACACAGTCCCGTGACACCTGAGATGAAATCCATTTCATCATTTCAGCCAAAGACACAAACTCGTATCTAAACTCTAAAAGTCGATCGCACAGAGACATGAAGACAGCACAAAGACCCACACGGACGTTGTGTACTTGTGCTGCACTTGTGTGATGTGTTTGCATAGGGTTCTTGCAATAGCTGCAGGGATGCGTGCACGCGCGTCCCTGCGGTGACCTTCTCTCGGCTGGAAGACGTTGAAGCAGCCAGAGGTTGTGTTTGATTTCACTCTCCGCTGTCTGTCGCTCGATGTCTTCCTCCACCACACACTCCTCCTTTTTTATTCCTCCAAATCCCTGCCTCCCACCCCCCCTCTCCCCCGTTCCTCCCCTGTCCTCAGCCCCCCCCCACCTGTGAAGTCCTATTTGTTAGAACAGACAGCAGGTTAGCATTAAATATACATGGGGATTGTCAGCCGGTGGCGAGCACAAAGGCAACTAGGCGAGCCCCAGCGGAATCCAAGCCAGGCCCAGGCAGCCGGGCTCGGGGAGCGGGGGGCCGTCGCCGTCCCCCGTGGGCCCCCCTACCCCACCAGCCCACCACACACACACACACACACACACACACACACACACACACACACACACACACACACACACACACACACAGGTTAGAAACCAAAGAGAAGGTCAAAGAGACTAGCACACAGATGCTGGAGTATGCAGATGTACACAGTGTGTGTGTACAGACACACAAGTCTGCCACCCCCCTCAGCTCACCCACACTCACACACTCACATCTGTCGTCCACTGGGGCGCAGGGTGATGTACAAGCTGAATCCCCCCTCGAGTATCCTCCCCTCTCTCCCCCTCTCACCCAGATGCAGGCAGAATACTGAATCTGTGAGCGAGGCCTCGTCTCTGCAGAGCCACGCGCACGCAAACGCTTTCTTTTAGTTATTTATAAGAATCACACAGACACATCCGCCATCTCATCCGAATCTGCAGAGAGCCGCACGGGAAATTATTCTGCAGCTTCAACGATGGCGATCTAAAATGGCCGCCCACGACGATCGCACTGACAAACGGTCGAGGGTGACGAGGAAGGTTTGGGTTTGCTGATAGATGTAAAAATAAAGGGAGGACATTATTCAGGGGTTTGGTCGTCTGGCGTCGCGTGATCTGTTCTTCAGTGCACGAGGAGGCCGAGCTCGCTCACACGGACGATGTCACATACATGCAAACATATGGCGACTGTACAGTCCAGCTGTGTTCCTGTCCTGGCATCTTTCAGCATGTATCCCATGCTGCCGGGAGGACGGCAGGTTTGTGAACAACAGGAAATCTGGGGCCGGACGTCCCAACAACAGTGGAGGACGTTTTTACACGGATCTGTCATTTATAAGACTCAGCCTCACATCGTACAGGGAGTGCAGAATTATTAGGCAAATGAGTATTTTGTCCACATCATCCTCTTCATGCATGTTGTCTTACTCCAAGCTGTATAGGCTCGAAA